AACACTGGACTTCAAACAACTTGGGCTATGAGCTTCTCCACCCTTCCTCCAGACTCTAGGACCTTGGTTTCCAAATAAAATACAAAACTTGCTCTCATCTGAAAAGAGGACTTTGGACCACTGGGCAACAGTTCAGTTCTTCTTCTCCTTAGCCCAGCTAAGACACCTCTGTCGTTGTCTGTGGTTCAGGAGTGACTTGACAAGAGGAATACGACAACTGTAGTCAAATTCCTTGACATGGCGGTGTGTGGTGGCCCTTGATGCCACATTCTTGAATCGATTTTGCTTGACAAGCCTCTCAAGGCTGCAGTTCTCTTGGTTGGTTGTGCATCTTTTTCTTCCACACTTTTTCCTACCACTCAACTTTCTGTTAACATGCATGGATACAGCACTCTGTGAACAGCCAACTTCTTTGGCAATGAATGTTTGTGGCTTACCCTCCTTGTGAAGTTGTCTTCTAGACAACTGTCAGATCAGCAGTCTTCCCCATGATTGTGTAGCCTAGTGAGCCAAACTGAGTGACCATTTTGAAGGCTCAGGACACCTTTGCAGGTGTTCTGAGTTGACTAGCTGAGTGGCATGTCACCATATTCTAATTTATTGAGATAGTGATTTGGTGGGTTTTTGTTAAATGTGGGCCAAAGTCATCACAATTAAAAGACCCAACGGCTTAAACTTCTTCAGTCTGTGTGTACTGAATTTATATAATACACGAGTTTCACTATTTGAGTTGAATTACTGAAATAAATGGACTTTTCCACGATATTCAAATTTATTGAGATGCACCTGTGTATATACAAATGGAACAGCACAACAAAAATTTCACAGTTGTGTTTTTTGATCTTTACAGTTCCCACAAAATGGTGATCGATTTGAGCCGCACTTTGTTTGGTGCTAATTAGCAAATGTTGGCAAGCTAGCATGCTACACAGAGCTGCCGGAAATTCGTGCTTATTGTCCTCTTTGTATTTATTTTATATCTATACAGCTTTTCACTGAACTCTTGTCCAAGTTCCTACCAAATTTTGTTGCGATAGCAACGTTAACCAATTTTATCTACACAGCGGATCCGTGCAACTGGCTTCACAACAAGAAACGGGCCATAGCAAGGGCGTGTGAGGATATGCAAGAGGTACAAGGACAAAATTTAATTTATGTATCCTTGTCAAAATTAGGCTTGGTCTACTGTATACATATAGTTGGTTTAACGTTGCATAAAATGTTGGTTTTCAGTTGATTTTGTCCCTAGAGAGAAGGCTGACGGAGCTCAGTGACAACCTTCAGAAGGTCAGAGATGGCTTCCTGGAGAAATCAGCTGCTCTGCGGAGGATGCCGGATGATCAGGTGACGTCATCCAATTGTAGGGGCATACGTGCACGGGGCAGGGCCAGCACGTGAATAATGAAAACCTTAGATGTAACAAAATATCCAAAAGCTAAACATTCTGCTAATGCTAGCTAGCATGTAGCCAAGATGGAGATCTTTGTTACGTAGTTTGAATATTTGTTTTATCCATAAAGGCAAAATCTGTGGCGGACATTGTAGGAGACAGTGTTGAGGAGGACACAGAGAGCACCTCACTGAAGGCCCAACATGCCAAGTTTTCCCAGCCAAAGACCAAGCAAGGCCTGTTCGCCAGCATCAGGGATGCGGTTACTTCCCCACGGAAGGGAACGAGCGGCCGAGCTCTTCGGAGGGCGGTTCAAACTGCGCAGACCTGAAAGGCTCAGCATCAAGACAAAAGGAGAGGTTCCTTTAGGTTTTTGAAAATTTCCTGAGGACAGTTTAAAGGGACCTGGACAAAAAACTCCAACAACTGTGAGAAACAGGAAGTGACTGATCACTTTTCTTCAGGTCATGTTTTTTGTGTGGAGATATTTTTAATACGTTTTGTGCTTTAATAAAATGATTCTGAAACTCCTAGACATGAAGTTGTTTATCTTAAAGGTGCAGTGCGCACAAATGGAAAATATTCCTAATCATGTCCTCATTAGTGACTAAGAATTTTTTTTTTTTTTTAATCATCTTAGACTGTGCCTAATATATCCACACAGGGAGTGGGTCTCCTCATGGAGGCCGTTGTGTAGCCCAGTACAGCTCTAGTGCTGCTTGGAAGATGAAGATGAACAAGGAACAAGAAACAAAGGATCAATTTTTCACAAGGGAAAAAGAAGGGATCTTTGAGTAACTGAATGCTGCTAAATTTTATTTATAAACAAGTTAAAAAACACTACAGTTTAGGTTTAATGTTTCAATTATTTTTCAAAAAAATATAATGGATAAGTTCTTATGACTCGTTCTTATTAGAAGAAGCTGAAAACTTTACAGATTTATTGAAAACATGTCAAACACTAGAAGCGGAATTAAAGCTATAGAAAATCACTGCCTGAAAAATAAGGCCATGAAGATCTATATACAGCTGAGTCCAGAAACTAGAGGGCAACTCACTGAAACCACTGCTTTGTTTAAATAAAACCCATATAACAAAGGCAACGAGAAATCGAACTTGCAGCACAATGACTGTGTCACTGTTATAATTGTGAAAAAAAATTACCAAATACTATTTACCAAAGTGTCAGTTTCACATTGTTCTGTTTGCCCGACAGTTCAAAACAGAAAAACATAAAGCAGCAAATCTTCACATCTGCAGCCAGATAGATAAAACTCTACAGATACAGAGCCTTACACTCGACTATTGTGCACAGCTACACCTATTTACAGAGCGTTGTAATGTGGTCACACACCTGTAAAGGGTTGGGGTTAGGCTGGAGGAAGTGTCTGGAGAGAGGGAAGTCTGGGCATCTCTGCTTAGACTGCTGCCCCCGCGACCCGGTTCCGGATAAGCAGAAGAACATGGATGGATGGATCCATCCATGTTCTTCTGCTTATCCGGAACCGGAGGCCTCTTGACAGATCATCATTAAGTTCATTCACATTCTAACTAAATTTATAAAGGTGTTATCCACATCCTCAGATCAATATACCATGGCCTCGGCTTGTCTCACTCTTTGTCTTTTGCCCCCACAGTCATTGGGTTTTGTGCAGTCAGAACCACAATGTCACATTCGAGACACCAGCTCTTGCAGCTCAGCAGTCTCTTTCCTTGCTCTGGGACTACAGGAAATAAAGTTTGAAAAAGTCAGCATGACTCAACACTGTCTTTATTGTTGTCCCCGTGATGAATACTTAATGTGTGTTTAAACATGTGAACTTATATTTTTTGGTGTTGTGTAATTGACTGAGATGTGTGTCTGAAGTTAGGGACAGAGGGATGATTGAGAATTGTGTGTATTGCAATTTCTTGTTCTTGTGTCAGTTTCATGTGTTTTCAGACTGTTTACTGTGTTGCTGAGGTGAGTATAAGATTTATTTTCTATTTTTGTGAAACAATGGGTATGGGGGGGAGTAATTCTCCCTCTCCTTGCTCCGTTTGTGTGTGTGTTCTGCTGCCTACTTCCTGTATGATATGTGTGAGAGCTGCTCACTCTGTGAATGAGTGTGTGTGAAGGTATACCATTTATTAACATTGTGTAAATAAGTAACTGTGTGGGTGCGTGCTGGTTGTTGTTGTTGTCTTAGAATAGGAGAACGGCAGCCAATTGGGTGTTAGAACGTCTGTGCAGATGAACCACTTTGAAGAAGCTAAATGTCAGACCAGTTTGGAGAAGCTAAATTGTGAGCTATAAATAAGAGTGTCTGGTAGGATTTAAATAAAAACTGTGTGTTATGGCTGCAAAGCAAGTTTTGTACTACTAGTGGGTCTATAGTGTGGAGCTCACAGTTTGGTCACACCGAAGCTAAATATATATTAAGGAGACTGGTGGAATTATAAGTAGTATCTGTAGTAGCAGACAAACTTGCATCCTCGCAGTTAAAGTTTTGGTTAAATTTGCTTGGTGTACTTAACAGTTTGGAGAGTGATAAATTGCGTTGGTGCAACTGCAAGGGGCGAAATTGAATGATGCTAGTTCTCTGCCGGACTTGATCAGCTGGTTTGAGGCTAGCCTGTCCATCTGGGCACCGGTCATTTGTTTCTGTTGGCCAAGTATAGTGAAAGCCCACTTAAAGCGCTTTTTGTAAATAGTCCAGACTTAAATGTGTGTGTTTGATTATAAGCTGAGTATACTGTATGTGTTGTTCATATTTTATGAAATGTGATAAAAGGTTGTTTAAGAAAATATATATTGGGTTATATTAATGGTTTGTGCAGGCTGTAGATATACTGAATATTTACTGCGCAGTTTTTTCTTTTGGGTGCGGTCCGCTCTTTTGTGTGTGTGCGTGAGTGCGAGTATTTTAACTGCGTCTGTAGAGGCACTGCGTGCATGTATGTGTGTACCTCCGTGTGACGGTGGAGGCAAAGTCATATCATATAATAAATAAAGAATAATAATAATAGGATAATAATAATAATGTGCTGTTTTATAGTTACTATAGGTATTAAAACCTGATGTTTATGAAGTCTCTAATCTCTGAAGGTAGTGTAGTGTTTTGTAGTTTATAGACTTGTGTTTTTTTTTTTTTTGTTTTGTTTTTTTTCAAGTTGTCATGGTCTGGAGAGTAAAGGGTCATGTGGGTATTGACTTGTTTGTATGAATAACTATTTCTTAATAATTAGTAGGACATGACTGTTGAACATTGGCTATTGCACTTGTAGTTACAACCTATTATTAAAATGGTAGGGGTTTTTTTGTTGCTGTGGTCGATGCATGAGGGAATAGTGGCTTGTTGCTTTAATGCGCATAGTGTTGCTTGTAGTTTTTTTTAAAGGGGGAAGTGAGAAGTCTCACCTTCGCCAGTCAGATACAAACTGGAAGTCAGTGCTGGTCAGTGCCATCTGCTCCGCCTCTTGCCCTCCCC